GGAGATAAGGAAGCTAGTTCCTGCCATCAGTTGCCCGGCTTTAATTTTGATCTCCGAGATTTTTTCAGAAGTTTGACAGGCATTTCTACTGGAGATTTTTTCGAGCAAAGCGGCATCTGACGAAACGAGGGCGACTTATGCCACAAAGTCACAACGACCCCCACCGGCTACCTGTTACTATTCAATGCCAATTCAACGAAATACCCCAATGCCGAAGCATTCCTGATATCGAGAAGAACCAGTGTAGCTCCGCGTTGAACAAAGTACACCGAGGAAGGCGGAGGTACTGCGAATGGCCAACCGAAAACCACTCTGCTACCACTGCATGAGGCCGACCTTGTCTACTGGAGGTGCCCGTACCAATGAATTGGCTTGCAAGGGTTCGTGCCGAACGACCCTCTACCACGTCTTGTCGAGCGTCCGGGGAAGATTGATGATTATCTTCGGCGGTCTTTGTCCCTGGTGCCGACATTACCCCGAAGCTCGTGATCTACTTCATCTGGACAGGAGGTAAGCACGACAAAGCAGGTGAGCGGCAATGCAAGGAGAGTTGATCTGGTGTCGGTTGTCGCCCAAGGACAATACCTAATAATTTGCTGACACTAATTATCTGTGTCCACGCCATGAAGCACACAATTTCCAACTTTGAGGGAGAATGCCGCTCAGTAACCTTAAGAAATAGAATGGTTGGTTTCTCTCAAAAGTGGACTGCAAGCATCACGAGACTTCACTTTGCCACACAAAACTTGCACAAGTTGCAGTGGTCGTGGGATGCACAATAAATCTCCATTACGAAATGGAAGTGAAATGGCTTGGATAGCAAACATTGTTGCCAGCTATCAAGTCAATGGTACAGCAAAGGGGACAGCCATATAACCAATACATGCCTGAACTTGCTGCATTGATGCAGAAAACTACCAGGAAAATTTTACGATTAGAAGCCAGCCCTGCAGCTTCAGTGCATCAGATGTCAGTAGGCGCACATGACGTATGATTACAAGACGGCATCAGTCGGTTAAAGTTGCTACTCGACCAAACTGAACACCCACAGGTATTACGATTGAACGCCTGACAGGAGACTGTCGCAGAAAGAACTCGTTCTAGAACCATTAACTAAGAATCAATAATTATGTAATGCAGTGGAAATAAACATTTGATACACTAACCAGATAAACATATTTCCACTTGCCTTTACACCTCGAGAGTTTATACACCAAGAATTGTGTTCACCACACGCGCAGGTCCTTTTGAGGACACTCGCATCTCTGACCCTTCAATATTAATTGATGGGACATACCAGACTGGCAGACTTGTTGCATTGGGCTGCACTCATTCCACTTTTCCTGAACACACCTCTGAGCATATACTTTAATCGTATGTGTTGATGCATTGTTATATAGCAGGACACTTCCTATACATACACCCTTTGCAGAAACCCATCAAGCAACACAACTGTTGCCATTTTTTTTCGGCGTAAAACACACAAATGGGCCCCAGTTCACGTCAAATGCTAATGCAGCATTCGAGTCCAATGGGCGCTGAGCCGAGTTCACAGTGATGGCGGACGTAACATTCTTGTCGAACAAATGACCAAAGTATGAAAGTCTGGGGTAATTAGAGTAGTAGCTACTGTAATTTGTTTCATTACAATTTGGCAAACAGCAAAGGCTACAGTCTCGGTGAGGCAATATGCACGTTGGAGAGAGGCACATGACAACATGTCATTCAGAGTGCTCGTCTGCACAGATTTGTCACACACCTTCGCTCTGTCTCTCTGATTGGCTCGAGGGGGCTGTGGCGGTTGTCCTTTTCCAGGTTACAATGATACGAAGTATAGACAAACCACACTTTTCAAAAAAAGGTTATTGAAGAGACCGAAAGGAATGGTCAACATTTTTCAACAAGACTACTCTTCAGGCAAGTTATGAACACAAATATGGATCATCTTATCCAGGTAATTAGACCAAGTAAATAATTGATTGACTAATACAATGCAGTTTTGATGAAAAAAATGTATTGCTGCAATAAATCCTACGAAAGAGAAAGAGGTGCAGTTAATCTATGCATACACCAAAACAGTTTGTTACTGCAAGTCGAATAGCTTTGAGGCAGGTGCCTGCAACGATTTATTCATCCCCACACTCAATAAACTGTCATCCTCGTAGCTGAAAATAAGTGTGCACGTCGCACTCACCAAAAAAGGAAGAAAGGCGATCGAATGTAGAATCGCCGATTAGCACAAAGGGCGCAGGAGCTTCCTCGCTAAAAGTTGGTATGGTTATTCGATGACGCAGGCCTGAAACAACTTCTCCTAGGCCCTAACGCGACGTATACCTTTCGCGTCGATTCACAGCCATTTCAATGTTCAAACAAAGCTAAGAGAACGCGAAAATTTCATGCTAAAAGCACTCAAAGTTTTATCGATCCTCGAACACATCCCGGAATCCGAGCACCGGTACGGCGATACGGCTGATGCTGTCTCACAGGTGTTAATATCCGTATGATCCAGAGCGATCTTGCGCAAAAAGGGTATAAAGTCTCATTCCTTCATATTTTCACAATATACCTGCGTCAGCGAGCACGAAAAAGCCAGAAATCGTCGGAAAGCCACTGCACATCACGGCTGCCTCGCACCGAACAAACTCGCATTCGCCAGCTCTGGGCGCTGCCATCTTACCTGCGACGTCACGGCTCTTGTGAGGTCACGTGACGAGTGGTCACATTTGCGTAAAATATGGCGGAAACCGGGGGGGGGGGGGGGGTGCCACTTCGGAACTTCCGGTTTATCACTCTAAGCCCCTCTACCTCGTTGAGTTTATCATACCTTTTATACAAGTCCAGGGAATCCTCTCTGCTCCGCGGGAGAGGCTGACGCTGCTTCAGCGGAACAGAGAGGACCTAGCGAAGTACAAAAGCGTCCTGCACTCTCGCAGGGCAAATGTAAAGAATACAAGGACACCGAGAGACAAAGGTACAAAATTAATACTACCGGCAACAACCGCAACAACGTAAACACTGTAGCGGCCAGCGGCCAGCTGTAAATGTTTTGGCGCGGGCGATGGTGATGCCAATGGCGTATCGAAACGTGGATGATGCGTACGCACTAAAAAGGATGAAAATTAGAGTAATTGAGCTTCATTGCGATTGCTGTAATAAAAATGAGTGCTTACTATTACTAAAATTAAATATTACGGCATGTAGCCATCATCTACCGCGCGATTTCTATTTAATGTTTGCATTTGTTTCTTAAGCGCGTCTGGCTGCGTTGGGCAGACGCTTCGGAAACGCAGACGCGAAGCGCTGCGCGGTAGCGCTGCGTGTGGTTTGACTGGGCGCACGCGTCCCGCTTAACGCGCGCGCCAAGCCGAGACGCGCGTCTAGACGCACTGAAAAACGCGCCATGTGGGCTAGCCTTAACACTTGCGAAGATCGCGTTCCACGTTTCATATACCAACTGCCGGAGGGTGGTCCTGTTTTCCCCGTATATGGCTCTGTTCCGTGCTGACCACAGTTGATAGACCACCTCGAGGATCAGCAGGCCAGACCCCGGTGCTCTCTTGGCGGACACTGGCATTGGGTCGAAATAGCGCACAGTATCATACTCCACCTGTCGGAGCCCGTAGAGGCCAGCTACCTTGCGCCACACGACTGCTGCATTGACACAGTCGAAAAACACGCTTGTGATTCTCGATGTTTCCACAGTCGGGGACTGGTCGGTTCTGCTAAAAAACATTCGATAAAGACGGGTGCGTACCGGGAGCACTGCGTGTGCAGGCTGCCATCCGACGTCCACGCGGCTCCCTTAATAAGCCAAGGCAGACAGCCTGTGCTTCTCGCGCTCCTCGCCAAGGACGACGGGCTGCTTCCGAAGCTCCAGAAGTGCGCGGTATAACCACTTAACAGGCCATCCTTTTAACTCTTCCTCGGGAAAGGCTTGACGGAGTCTTCTTTCTTGTCGGCACATAATCTCGTGGAAGTACGGGTGACTTGCAGACCGAGGCCTTGTGTGGTCCAGTTCTCCCCCGAAATGTGCAACCTCTGTACTCAAGAAGTTCGTGTAAGCGCTCGCAACATGGTCGGTGTCTTCCAGCACACGATAGGTCATCCATAGCCCGAGGGCCACGCAGAAGAGCTTCATGTCGGGAATAGACCATCCACCCTCTTCTCTCGGTCTTTGCAGTTCGTGCCGTGCCACTCTTTCCGTTTGTTGTTCCAGAAGAACCTGAAGAGTGTCATCTGGCACTGACTCGCCGCTTGTCGTGTCGGATGAAACGCAGTCCCCCCGCACCAAAGCACACTGGCCAACCTTGTCTTTAAGACTTCACTGCGGATGCGGAAGTCATGGTCCTCGCTGGAGACAATTTTTGCGAGTTCTTTCAGCCTTCTGGCGGATTCAGGCCAGTACTCCGTCAAGGGCCCTCTGTTGGTGAAGTGAATTCCCAGAATTTTAGCCTCGCTCACGACGGGCACGCCCTCGATGTCAGTGGCCCTGTCCGGCCATAGGTAGGGAAGCACGGCAGACTTTGCCACATTCACAGCCGCCCCCGTTGCGTCGCTGTACCGCTTCACGATGCTGAGCGTCTCCCGAACTCCCCAGCCGAGGTGGTGCATACTGTAAGATCATCTGCATATGCCAGGACCGTTGGTTTTCTTTGGCTTCCGGGAGTTGGCACGGGGAACATGTTCGAAGACGTTGCCTGATGCACGTGTCAAATACTAGGACGTAGAGAAGCGGGGACAGCGGGCACCCTTGACGCACACCAGCCGCAATGGGAAAGGCTTAATTGTGTGACACCTCCGTTCACCATGACCATGCAGGTAGCAGCGGTGTAGAGGCACTGCACTCCGCTTAAGAAGCGTCGGCCGAGTCCCATCTGGCTTAGGACGTGAAACAGGAACTTGTGAGAGACATGGTCGAATGCCTTTCCTGATCCACGGAAAGCACCAGCATGGGAATCTTCCGGTTGCCAACCCAGTAGCTGATGTCCCGCAGTGCGAACAGGTTCTGCTGTCCCGTGCGCCCTGGTACGGAACAAACATGCTGCGAGAGACCAAGTCGGGCATCACTGGAGCCAAGTGGGTTTGTAAGACCTTGGCCAAGATTTTGTATACGGTGCTAAGGAGGGTAATGGGCCTCCACGCTGCCAAGTCACGACGTCTTGCGCTGTCCTTGCAAATCAGCTTGATCACTCCTTGGCGCATGGAGCTCGGTAAGTAGCCGCCTTCTATGCTTCTCTGAAATATTTTCACCAGGGGATCCGCCAGCAAGTCCCAAAACTTTAGGAAGAGCTCCACAGGAAGACCGTCAGGACCGGGTGCCTTGTCTTTGGAAAGAGTGGACACCGCCTCCCAGCATTCCTTCCTCGTGACGGGGCCGTCTAGGCCTTCAGCTAGTCCTTCGTGAAATCTTGGAAGCGGGTCGCACAGTCCGTCCCAGAGCGCGCTCTCAACGGGGCGCTCAGCATAGAGGAGCGCGTAGTACTCCCCGCACTCTTCCTCGATGTCCTGAGGGAAGGTAAGGGGCGCTCTGTTGGCCGCCGTCAGTTCCAAGATTGCTTGTGGTTCTGACTTGAGCTTGCCTGCAAGGGCGACCCTGAGAGGGGGTCTGCAGCTTGAACGGCACGAGGAGATCGGGCCTTGCTCGCTGACCCGCGACATGAGCAGCTGGTGGAACTCGGTTTGTAGTTCTGTGTAGGCCTCTATCTTTGCCTGGGTGTCCAGGCCTAAGTGCCACAAGTTCCGCATACCCCACTTTAGTACTGTTACCTCCTGTCGTCGCTCCGCCACTCGACGTCTACCCTAAGCCTTGAAGACCTCGGTGATCTCCGTGGTGAAGTCGTCCCACCAACATAGGTCGAGCTGTTTCGTGTCGAGTGTTTTCTTGATGAAGGCCCGCACATGGTTGACCACTTCCTCGTCCTGATGCAGTCTGGTGTTAAGGCGCCACAGAGTCGCTTGCCTGCCGACACCCGGAGCTAGCTCCATCTCGAGGATGACTGCTTGACGGTCCGTCACGTAGGCTGCTGTGTTCCCTACTGGCATAACTTTGCAGTCCTTAAGGGCGCACACCAGGGCGCCTGAGACGTAGAAGCGGTCAAGCCTCACTGAGCGCCCTTGTGCGGAGAAGGTGCGTCCAGGTGCGTTTCCGTGGAGGTTCCGTCCATGCGTCCATTAGAGAACAAGATGTGACCAGCTGACGGAATCCTTTGGCTTTCCATGCGGGGTGTTTCTGCGTGCCGCCGAGCGAGTCTTTTGCCTGGTCGAGGACGCAGTTAAAGTTCCCCGCCAACACCAGTTCTCGTCTCCCGTGCCGGTAGAAGTACAGGTTACTGAAGAAAACTTTCCTCTCTGCAGTCCACTGGTGCATAGACGTTTGCTATCCTTGGCACATTCCCCTTGTGCACGATGTCTACGGTAAGGAGCCGGCCTTCATCGTCGTGTCGGTACTTGCCGACGCTACCACGGAAGGTCGGCGACACCAGGATGGCCACACCCCTCGCTCTGCGCTCACCGAAGCTATAGAAGCCGGTCACAGGCACCTTGCCCCCAAAGTCCCCCACCTCCCGCGTGCACGCTAGGTGAGTTTCCTGGAGGAGCAAGGCGTCCACTTTCAGCTGGTTCATAAGAACCCCTATCCACACCTGCTTTGCCGGCGACCGAAGTCCTTTTACATTTAACGACATCACTCGCATGATGGGTCGAAAGGGGTGGAGCCCCATTCCTTGGTTTTCTTCCGGACTGTTAATTTGGTCTGAATCGGTTGCTTGGGGAGCTTGCTCAGCTGCCCTGGAAGCGAGTGTCTTTGCTTCCCAGAATCGCCGCCTTCCCTCAAGCTTGAAGAGTCACGTGGGCGCTTGATTGTCTGTGCCACAGCTTCCATCAGAGCTTTTTCGTTTCTGGCCCCCAAGTCTTCGTCTTGCTTTTCAGATGAGGATGATAACCCCATCGTGTCACTCGAAGTTTCCGACCGTTGCCCCGGAGTTGTTGTCGTCCTTTCCTAGGCCATACCTGCCAATATCGGCGTGCTTTCCGCCGAGTCACCGGTAGACGCGCCCGCGTTATCTGGGCTTATCACCGAGCTAGCACCGCCCCGCTGTGTTTCGCTGTTTTCACTGGGCCGAAGGGCTGCCGCCGGCATGTCTGCTTCCTCGTCCTCCTCAAAAAGGGGGTTGTCTCCTTTGTGTCCTCCGCCCTCCCGCTGGGTTTCGTGGTGGGTGGTCACCGCCGCACTTCTTGCACGATGACCGGCACTCTGAACTAACATGTCCGTAGTCCCCGCATCTGGCACAGCGAGGGGTCCTGCAGTCGTAGGAGAGGTGCCCGGCCTGACCGCATCTCCTGCAGGCCTCTCTCATGCCTTGGTAAAGGCACATACCCCGGAAGCCGAAGACGCTGATATAGTTTGGCAGCTCCCTTTCCATCTCCACGGTGACACGCCTGGTCCCTATTTCCAATGCTGCGTACCCGCAATGTGTCTCCCGTGTCATTCGGATGATCTTCCCATATGCTCCTAAAACTTGGGCGACGGCCTGGTCTCGAACCTCCACCGGTAGCAGGAGGAGGGTCACGTTCCTGACCTTGGACGCCAAAGGCAAGAGGTCGTGGGACTTGCCTCCTATAACCAATCGTCCCGCCTCACGCAGCTTTTCGGCTGCTTCCGCAGTTTTCACCGTAAGCGTGAAACGCCCCCCGTCATACGGGTGACAAGCCCGTCCACTTGCTGGTGGCACCAACGCCAAGAATGCTTCGATAACTTGTTTCGTAGAGACTCCTTGGCCCACGTGAACGTTGAAACTGAAGTTTGCGGTATCAGTTAACTGAAAGAAAACAAGGTTAGGATATGTCTTTATAGTGCGCTTAGCGATTTACAATAAGTATTCGCATGTCCTAAATGCCGTGTGAGTGTCACGTGAACCTAGGGAGGTGCGTAGTGCCACGTCGGGTGTGTAGTCATGTCACACGTAATTCGTTCACATAGCTGGATTCTCGGAATGGCGTGACGCCCCGATCACTGCATGTACGGCCATTTGTACCATTTTAGTAGCAATGAAGAAGGACAGCATGAAAAATAGGAAGAAAGAAAGAATTAAAGAAAGAAATGAAGAAAGAAAGGAAGAAAAGAAGAAAGAAAGAAAAGGAAAGAAGGAAGGAAAGAAAAAAGATGTCGCTGCGGTCGGCATTCCGTGGTGGGACAAATGTTCATAATGGTGGCATTAGTAGGATTCATTCTGCTCTTTACTGAGGGAAAGATTTATGTCTGAACTGGAACTCTGACTGCGGTGGCTTATGGTTCCGCTTTCGTGGCGGCTATCTTGAATGGGTAGAAGGCGGTTTTTAATTTATTGAAATCAATCTAAAAAGTAGCCTTGCTAACAGAATTTTTGTGGTTTTGCAAAAGCTAGAGCAAGCTATTAAAGTCATAAGTTAATTAGTGAGTTAGATAATGAACGAGTAAATATACCCACGTGATTATTAATTTTATCCTACAATATTAAAGTGGAGAGGGTGATATTTTTACGTCGTGTACTCGGCAATATAATCCAAATATGCACGATAACTTTCTGGACATTATCGTTTTAAACTGTTTTTTTCTTAAAAAGAGTTTTTGTTAGAAGTTTTATATTTTTAAAAGACAATTTGAAACCAAACTATCAAAATATCTCTCGTCCACTTTTTTAAATAAAAACCCTTTCCTCTTTTTAATTTTCTTATATATGTAGTATTTTGTGCAATGTAGGTTTACTGAGTCCCCTGATCTTATATCTTAAAGTCCAAACATTAAAACTTGAACTTTTAACACTCAAAACAAACCGGCACAAACGTCTGGGTTGGGCTTTTATTTTTATGATATTAAACAATAATGTAAAAAATGTGAAAGGAAGAAAGAGAGAGAAAGAAAGAAAGAACGAGAGAATGCACCTTTTTAAACAAAACGAATTAAGTTTTCAAGATGTCCATGACTTGGTAGAACAAGGCCGTTTGATCTTCTAGTTGCTCCGGCGCTAGCCAGGCACTCCAAGAAGTGGGATGGGGTTTAGTGAAGAATGGGGAAAATAGGAAATACAGCTACCGGGCACTGTAAAAGGCAATGTTCTAAATTGGCGTATAGGGAGAGACAGTTAGGGCAGGAGGGGTCGGAACGGTGTCGAAAGTGGTAAAGCTTAACGAGAGTTAGAAGAGTTTTTGATTGGATTGGGTATTTGGGTCTTTCTAATGATGAGGGTTTGCGTGTCATCGAGCTAAGGGTGGGGCTGAGGTAGGCGTCGCTGAGAGTTACGGAGCTGTTTGTAGTCAGATTTGATTGAGCGTTTGTAGATTAAAGCTTCAACGGTTGTCGGGGGACTAGGCAAGGGGATCACAGGGGCCTGGATTTGCATTTCGCGGGCGAGTTCATGAAGCAGCTCATTACCTGCAATTCCAGTGTTACCTGAAACCCACCGAATGGTGACCGAGGATGGGTGAAGTGTGTGCAGAGCTTCCTCAGGGTATGGTCAGAGATCTGGGGGGAGTTTGCGCTGCTGCAAGGCGAGAATGGCAGCCGGTGAGTCTATAGAGAATAGATCATATAAATTTGATCTGCGAGGCACTTGGACAAAATCTTAGATAGCACGTTCGATGGGAACTAGTTCTAGTGTGATGATATTAAGGGAGGCGGGGGGGGGGGGGCGGTTGTTATGTGAACCACTGGTGTGAACTTGGGGGTGTAGATTGCGTATTCCGGAGTTCCCGTGGCTCCTATCGCGAAGACGGACACATCAAATTAGCTACGATTTGAATGTGAAAGGATGGCTTGGTGATAGCTAGCTTGTGCCCTCTTACGTACGTCGTCTATTTCCGGGGACATGTGGCGAGGTACAGCGGCAAAGCGCAGGTTTGACGGCAGGGATTTTTAAGTTTATGTAAGGGAAGGTCAATTTGAGAAAGACCTGCCTGCTCCAGGATCCATCAACCCTTCGGTGTTCCCGAGAGGCGGGCTATTTTACGTTCCCGACGTAGGTGCGGAAAGAGGTGAGGGGGAGAAATAGTACTGTGTCGTAGAGTTTCTGGTTGGAAGTGGAGGTAGAAAGGTTTCGGGAGGGCCTCGTACAAGGTGTTCAATGCTGATTACGGTTTGGTGAGTTGTTGTGTGAGTATAAAATATGGCCTAGGATGAGAATCTTGTTGACAGCTAATGCAGGAACAAGTTGGCTCGCTGGTTTTTTTATAAAGGCCTGCATTCCTCTTGTAAGTAACCGAGTTGCATGTGTTTATGGCTGAATTGACGTTGGCATGGTGTGCCCTCTCCTGTAAATGTATGCCTAGAATTTTGGATGGGTATGCTCTCAGGATGGGGTGTTGGCCGAGGCGTGGTTGGGAGGGAGAGCATCATTAATATTGCAGACAGATTTGTCTCACAAATGCCTATGAAATAATTAGAGAAGGCGTCTCTCGCTTGTCAGGCAAAGGTAATTGTTGCATTTATCGTAACGTGACAATATCTGATAGCATCCCTGATCGGCTGCACTTTCCACAGTCTGAAACGTTGGGTAACTTCTCCGCCTCAAAGAAGTGAAGACATCTACTCAGTGCCCTAAATTTGTCTTGTGCTCGCTGCTTGCCAGCTGAAACTCAAATAGCGTTCGCCAATACATTTGTATTTGAGGAAAAGGGCATGCCCATCATCATTCATGATAATGTGCACGCCAAAACATCGCTTGATCTTAAGTAGAGTTGCGTTGAAGGCCTTTTCAGTGACATGTGATACA